TCTCTGCAGTAGTCTATGGATGGACCATATTTTATGTAATAACCATTCCCTATTTTTCCAATGTTGGACCTTAAAGAGGCTTTTTAATTTAATTTAATTTAATTTAATTTTTATTTATTTATTTGAGAGAGAGAGACAGAGATAGCTAGAGAGAGCACAAGCAGAAAGGAGAGGGAGAAGCAGGCTTCCCGCAGAGCAGGAAGCCTGATGTGGGGCTCAATCCCAGGACCCTGGGATCATGACCTGAGCTGAAGGCAGACGCTTAACTGACAGCCACCCAGGCGCCCCGATGCTTTTTAAATTTTTAACTGTAAGACCTTTCACATCTCTATCTCCTTAGAATAAACTTCCTGAGGTGGAATTTCAGGGGCAAATGGTGTGATATTTTAAAAGATTCTTTTTTTTAAAGATTTTATTTATTTATTTGACAGAGAGACACAGCGAGAGAGGGGACACGAGCAGGGGGAGTGGGAGAGGGAGAAGCAGGCTTCCCGCGGAGCAGGGAACCCCATGCAGGGCTCGATCCCAGGACCCCAGGATCACGACCCGAGCCGAAGGCAGACGCCCAACGATTGAGCCACCGAGGAACCCCAAAAGATTCTTGATTCTAATTGCTTTCCAGGAACTTTATGTCAATTTACAATCCCACCAGCAATGTGCAAGAGCATCTGCCTCACTGTCCATGGTCTACGTTGAGGAATAACAGATCTTTTTAAATCTTTGCCAATCTATATACTTTGCATGTTCTGTCATTACTAGTGAGGTAGAGCAAAACACTATTTGACCAATTATATTTCTTTTCCTGTGAATTATTTCTTCAAACCTTTGCCAAGGCCTCTATTAGGGTCACTGTGTTTTTCTTATCCGTTTATATAAGTTCTTTATACAATAAAGATAATGACCCTTTGCCATACTTGTATATCTTTTTTCTTTGATATGTATTATTTAATTTGTTAATTATACCTTTGTCATATAGAAATTCTTAGGGTTTATGTAGTAAACTCGACCTACTTGGTGTTTTTTTTTCCTACTGGTTTTCAGTTTAGAAAGTCTTCCTATGTCCAAATTTCAGATGCATAATTATCTATATTCTATTTTAGGGCTTTTTCAATTTGATTTTTTTGAACTTTCAACTAATCATCTAGTATTTCAGTTGATGCATGGTGGTAGGTCTCAAATTTTAATGGACATCACTATCAGTGCTTGTTAAAAACTCAAATATTTCTGAACTCTATCTCCCTGAGATTTTGATTCTGTAGGTATGGGGTGGGGTTCACAAACCTGCATTTGTTACAATCACCCCAGCTGATTACATTGCAGATGGGCCCTTATCCATTTTTAAGAAATTCTTTTTCTTAAAGATTTTATTTATTTATTTGAGAGACAGAGCATGAGCAGGGGGGAGGGTCAGAGGGAGAGGGAGAAGCAGACTCCCTGCTGAGCAGGGAGCCCCACACAGGACTCTATCCCAGGACCCAGGGATCATGACCTGAGCCGAAGGCAGACGCTTAAGGGACTGAGCCACCCAGGCGCAGCCCACATTTTGAGAAATTCTTACAGAATGCAGTGTAATCTGCCTTAGTACAGAGACTTAGTGCCTCCCATCTGGATGACTGTAGCAGTCTCCCTCAACTTCCAGGCCACTACACCCTAAAATCTATCCTACACACAGCATCTAGAGTTCTGCTCCAGAAACATCTCATGAAAAACTCTTCATTAGCTGCCTATTGTTAAGGAAACTAGATCAAGCCCCTCATCCAGCGCTCCAGGCCCTTCATTATCTTTCCTGACCTAGTGACCTAATAGGCCAGAAAGCTAACGACAGCTAACGACAGCCCTCCCATCTAGCCTGGCCTGCCTCCTCCTGGGCCTTGGACACAAATCACTCATTCTTGTTTTCCTGCTGCAGCTCCTACCTCTTCTCAGGTTATTCAAATCCTAAGCATTCAACTCAATTCTCACGTTCTTTTCCTTCCCTCACTATCCGGATTTTCACTGCTTTGCTAGAATTACCAAAGCCCATTATTGCATATTCTTTTGTTGTGAGTCTTCCCATGGGGTCACACAATTTAGAGGGCGTGGTCTGTGCATCTATTCCTCTCAGCCTCTAACGCAGTCACACCTGAAGAATGTGGTTAATGGAAGTGATTTTAATACATGTTATTTCTGAAAGCTAATGCCGTAGCCTCTCAGAAATCTCCTCTGGACCAAAGTGAGAATGACAGATTTCTAGAAACTTCACGTTGTGATTTGGTTTGCTGATAACCAAGTTAAGCAAAGGTTATCTTGGCTTCAGCTCTTATTTAACAATATTGCTTGTCACCTCTGACATGTCCATTTATTGACTTTTCTAGTTGAAGAGTCTAACCTTTTATTTATTATGGGATATTTCTTGCCCCTCTTACAAATGTGGTGATTTCTCTTTTATAGAAGAACATGCTTTATCAGATTAAATAAATATAAAAGGGTTAATGGCTAAATAATTACATTATAGCTTCCTTAATTTCTTTTCTCTCTTTACCCTTCAGGGTTCTGCCTTCTCAAATGACAAACTTGCTTTATTTTTATTTTTTTTTTGCGAGAGAGAGAATGAGAGAGAGCACAGAGGGAGGAGGGTCAGAGGGAGAAGCAGACTCCCTGCTGAGCAGGGAGCCCGATGTGGGACTCGATCCCAGGACTCGATCCCAGGACTCGATCCCGGGACTCGATCCCAGGACTCGATCCCGGGACTCGATCCCGGGACTCCAGGATCATGACCTGAGCCAAAGGCAGTCGCTTAACCAACTGAGCCACCCAGGCGCCCGACAAACTTGTTTTAAAGGAGTTCACTTGGATGCTCAGAATAGGTGGGGGTGGGGTGAGTGAAAATATGCCCTTTCCCTTTCAAGTAGACCAGGGGAGGATTCAATTCAATTCATCAAATATTCATTGAGCTCCCATTAGGGCACCAGGCTCTGTGCTAGGCACAACAATAAATGCCAAGATGAGAAATGATAATGGAGCCGAAGAGCATGGGAAGGAGAAGAAAAGGGAAGAAGAGGTGAAGAAAGGACTAGAGCTGGCTATCTGCATAAAAGGGGACTAAAAAAAAGAAAAAAGGGAGAAGAGAACCAAAGGTGCATTCTCCAGCCTGGTCTCACTTGATAGCAATGTGCAAGCCTAGAAACCTGAAGCAGTGGTTTTAGTTCAAATAATGCTTAAGAACCGTTAGAGTGGTTAGGAAAGGCCCTGAATTGAGGCAAACCTTTACCTGCTCAAGCCTTTGGAATGGGGATTAAAAGATCTCTCTCTTTTTTTAAAGGGTATATATGCATGTGTGTGCATGTATGTGTACATATACAGTATATAAAATTATTTTTGGATGATAATAGCTAACAATGAGTGTGTGCTTACTCTGTTCTAAGCACTTTACATATATTAACTTACCACAACCCTGTGAGGTAGGTGCAATTATTATGGACATTTTTTTCAGATGAGGAAACTGAGGCACTGAGCAATTAAGTAAGTTGCCCAAGTTCACACAGCTTATATCTGGCAAGTCTGGGCTTTGAACTTTGGTCTGGCTGAGTTAATATTTGCTGTTATTTGTGGTACTTGGCCATGTTTAACCTACTGCTGTACTAATGCACTGCCTTGCACATAATAGGCATGTTATACTTTGAATAAATAAATAACTGAAATGTTAGCTATAAAGTGCTTTCCACTAAAGTCCAATTACTATTAAATATAAAAAATTAAGTGTCATTAAATGTGCACTTACTATTTTAATTTTATTAAAAACATTTTTTTTTTTTTTTTTTTTACAGCACACACATGTGTGCATACTTCAACATTCTCTTATTCATTTGGCTGGGCTCCTGACCCCTCTAAAAATTAGAGGAATCACTGAATGTAGTCGAGGAGCTGGTAGATGAATTAGTGGTATCTGATGTATTTTTGGAGTAGTGTTGTTGTGTTGGTGGGGTCCGGAGCCAATGGCCAAGAGAGAATTCTTGAGATGTCTTCGGTGCAAAAAGGTGGTTTTATTAAAGCACAGGACAGGACCCATGGGCAGAAAGAGCTGCTGTAGCCTCGGGATTGTGAGGAGCAACTGATTATATATACTTTGGGGTTCAGGGAAGTAAAGATAAGGGAAGTTCCAAAAGGATTTTCATATGCTAAAGAAGACTCACAAGATACTGGAGGCCTTGCTATTGTCAAACTAAGGTTGTTTTTCCCTCTAGCAAGGCATTAACTTTAAGACAGTTGGGAGCTTTGTCATTGGGCTGCAGGTTATAAGGACATTTAATTTTATCTACGTTTCCTTCTGCCTTTCTTTCTCACGTCAGTATCAAGCCTCCTTCTGTCTTTTGAAGTTGAAAACCAATTCTTGCCCTGAGGATTTAGCAGCCCTGCGTGGGATCCACTTAAGAAACCAGGTTTATGGGGCGCCTGGGTGGCTTAGTCGTTAAGTGTCTGCCTTCGGCTGGGGTCATGATCCCAGGTGGGATCGAGCCCCGCATCGGGCTCCCTGCTCGGCGGGAAGCTTGCTTCCCCCTCTCCCACTCCCCCTGCTTGTGTTCTGTCAAATAAATAAATAAAATCTTTAAAAAAAAAAACAAACAGGTTTACCTTGTCATAAGACTGTAACACTTTCCTGAAGCAATATAAAATAGAGGGAGAACGAACGCCTGAAAAACCCTAGGACTCCAAAAAGGGCCGACTTTTAGAAAATGTTGCGATTTGAAGACACCACCCACCCTTCATCTCCCAATCTTCCAAGCCATCATGGATCTGAGCCTATAATTTTGGTTGCGTTAAATCGCAAGCACCCCTGCGATGGGTAGCACTATTCACGGGGTAGTTCAAATTTCTTTCTGATTTTTGAGGCTTATCCAGATCCGCCAATGGGACGGGGAGAAGAGCAGGCGGTGGGCGGGGTCGCTAGGAGGGGAGGAGAGGGGACCTTGTGGGGGGGGGGAGGGGGCAATAGGGCGTTGAGTGATTTGGAGGAAGGTGTCTAGAGAAGCGCCCGGTTAGGGTAGGGAGGAGGGCTCCCCGAAACTGGCTGTCCCGGGCAGGCCCGGCTGACCCGCGCCTGGGAGGAGCCCCGCGTCCCGTCGCGCCTGCCCCGGGCTGGCTGCGTGTGCGTCGGGAGTCGAGCCGCCGCGCGCACCAGGAAGTGACTCTCCCCAGCGGCAGCGATCCAGGCCGGCCGCTGGCTTTTACTTGGCCGCCTCAGGTTTGTGAGAGGATTTATTGGTTGCAAAGGTATGGGGGGTACGTGGAGAACTCGGAAAGCCCGATTGAACCCTTACTTAGAGAAAACTGCTTAGCGAGCCAATCTGCCTGCGGGGCGGGGAATTGAGGAGGCCGGCGGAGGTGGGGACGCGCGGACCTGACCTATGCTGGCTGTCCAAGGTTGCGGCCAGCTCTGCGTCCGCCTGTGCTGTGACCTCAGCCCTCCCTTGGCCCAAGTTCAGTGATAGTCTTTCCCACAGACACGGTGGGTAGAACTTGCCCGGAGAACAGGGGGATGGAGGGGCTGGTGAGGGGGTCTGGTGGGGGAAGGACCTGATGGAGCGTGCATTGCAGTGAGGACTCAGCAGTTACACCCTTATGTCCATCACCTCTTGCCAAGAACCGTGTGTGGGGCCAGGCCAGCTGAAGGAAGGATGAACAGAGAGTGTAAGCAGGACCCTTGTCTGTGGGTTAACATTTTGCTCCAAGAAGCTCCTTGGCCCCACACGCATCAAACCTACCACGTAGTCTCAGATTGGAATCTCTGAGCATTTCAGGCAGGTTACCTATTCCAGTCCTAGAGACTTAGTCTTCCTTCCTATCTAGCAGCTCTGGACCCTGAGTCCCTTTCCGATTGATTCCTATAGGAGAAACTGAGCAGATGTCACACACTTTTTTTTTTTTTTTAAACCCAAGCATTTTTTTAAAACAGGAAAACCTCTGAAAAGAAACTAGTCTTTTCTGTGGGCAGATGCCCCCTCCCCCCCCGCCCCCCCCGGACATCAAGAAACAAAGAAACATAATTCACTTTGACTGGTATTATTATGCTGCCTTGAAAAATATATTTCACTTCAGAAATTACTAAATATGATGAAAGGGTCTTTACCAGGAGCGGTGACCGGTTGGCAATAGTGGGGTCCTATTTTAGACCATACCTGATAATTTGGAGGAAGAAACCTAGATGCACAAGAGCCTACTGCTGGGATATAGGGCAAGTAGAGCACAGTCCTGGTGGCATTCACCAGTGAGAGGACCCACACACTCAAAAAAAGTCTGAATGTTGTGAGATACAGATAGATGTCTTCAGCCCTCAGCTCCCCTGTCCCTCCTCTGCCAACCCCTAAATGGGCCTGCAGCACACCCTCCCCCTGCAGTCTGCCCCCGTTCTGCCCATTCCTTATTTTTTGTCTCCTACCTCTTCACTCATTTCCTCTCTCTGGCTTTTGCTTTTCTTCATATCAAATACATACTTTTGTCTCACTTTAGAAAAATGTTTATCACAGATCACACACTTTTGATAGTATTCATAGGTGGTCCAGGGCAGGCCTTAAGCTCACCACACTCCAGCAGGCACTAATGCAGAATGTTATGAAAGTTCTTTGGTTTGTGTTTTGTGTTATAAGTTTCCCACATAATTTTACTTATCCTAACGGCATTCACAGGCTTTATTACATTTCGCCAGTTTTGCAGGTCAGACACGTCGAGGCATGAAGAAATCAAGTGATGTGCTTCGAATCAGAGCCTAAGGAGGGGCAGTGACACATGTCAAATGCCTACTGTGTTAGATGCCATCCTGAGCACTTCATATATATGAGCTCCTTTAATTCTTTTTTTTTTTTTTAAAGATTTTTCTTTATTTATCAGAGAGAGAGAGAGTGAGCACAAGCAGGGGGAGTGGCAGGCAGAGGGAGAAGCAGGCTCCCCGCTGAGCAGGGAGCCCGATGTGCGGGGCTTGATCCCAGGACCCTGGGATCATGACCTGAGCCGAAGGCAGACGCTTAACCGACTGAGCCACCCAGGCATCCGAGCTTATTTAATTCTTAGCACAGCCTTGAAAGGTAGGTGGTACTAGTCCTATTTTTATAGATGATGACACTGACATTCATAGTGCTTAAGTAACTTGCCCAAAGTCACATAGCTAGTGAGCAGCAGAGCTGAGATTAGAATATGGCTCCAAAGCCCATGTTCTTCTTAATAACTTGCCTTTTTCTGGGAGTTGTGTAGAGGGTACTATCTATTATCACCTCAACTTTGAGACAGCTTAAATATGTTTTGTTAGAAATTTCTGAAGATCCCCCGCAAATGCTTCCATGTTGACAGTTACTTTCTTTAATATTTCATAAACACACAAAGTGGTGTATGGGCTAAAGACTATAGCACTCATACCAGCATCCTTTAAGTTACACAGTGGTCACAGCATACTAATTTCACAGTAATAAGAGGAAGCCGTGGAGGAATCTCTGTTAATAAATCGGTTACATACATTGGAAACGTGTGTGTGTGTGTGTGTTCTGAATTAAGGTATGATTTAACATTGGGATGTAATCCAAGGTAGAGGACAAGGGCAAAAAGGTAATTTCACAGCTCATCACTAAGGTGTCCAGCCAAGTCCATTCATGTGTCCTTGGTACCCAAACAAGTTACACAGCAGTGATCAGGCACCATAAAGTAAATAGGCACCAACACTGACTCCTGTGTTGGAGGCAAAGGGATTCCTTCCTCTTTCCAAAGTGAGGCCCTCACCTGTTCTGACTCTTGCAGCTTTTGCCTTATAGTTACTCCTACTTGTCCTTCCCCCCCCTCCACCCTCTGCTCCCTTTTGTCAATATTGCCACCCCCACCCAGGCCTGTACTGTCTTTAAGCATCATGACAATTAACTGAGTTTTCACCAGGTACTGGGCGCTGTGCTCAGAGCTTTACAAACATCAGCTCCATTTAATCTTCTGCTGGGTACTTTTTATTATTTATCCTTTATTTAACTCTTATAACCACTATATGAGGTAGGTACTATTATTATCTCCATTTTACAGATGAAAAAAAAAGGAAAGTCATGGGGAATGATTGACTTGCCAAAGGCCACCTAACTAGTAAGTGGTGGAGTCAGGGGACCACTCAGGTCTGCCTGACTCTAGGGTCTCCACGCCTAAGATCTCAAACCTTCATTTGTACCTCCTGTCTGCCACTTACTACTGCCTTATTTCACTTCTTTCTTTGGCCTCTGACTTACTGGATATGTCAGTGTCTTACCTAAAGGCATCTTCCTTGGCCTCTAAGCTCCATGTTCTCCTGGGTCACCAGCATCTCTTCTTGTTCTCCAGATACTGTCTTTTTCCCAGGTGTAGTCATCGGTCTTTTGCTCTTCTCTTTACTGAAAGCTCCTTTTTTTAAAAAAAATCTTACATCTTGTACTTATAGACACTCAACCAAATCTCTAACCCTGACTTCTCTCATGACTCGTAGTACTGCTTCTCTACTTGTTAGATGTTTCCATTTGGATATTTTCCTTACCATTGCAAACACATGTCTCAAACATGAATTTGCTTTTTTTTTTTTTTTTTTTTTTAAGATTTATCTATTTGAGAGAGAGAGAGAGAGAGAGCTCGTGTGAGCAGGGGGAGGGGCAGAGGGACAGAATCTTCAAGCAGTCTCCCCGCTGAGCACAGAGGCCAACGCAGGGCCTGATCCCATGACCCATGAGATAATGACCTGAACCAAAACCAAGAGTTGGATGCCCAACACAGTGAGCTACCCAGGCACCCCTGAACTTGCTTTTTTTTCCTCTTTTTTATTTTTATTTTTTAATTAAATTCTTGATTTAGAACTGATTTAGAATTAGATTAGAATAATAGAATTTTATTAAATTCTTGATTTAAGTTCTTTATATGTTCAATTTAATTAGTTTCAGGGGTAGAATTTAGTGATTCATCAGTTGCATATAAAACCCAGTGCTCATTACTTCAAGTGCCCTCCTTAATGCCCATCACCCAATTACCTCTTCTCCCTACCCACCTCCCCTCCAGCAACCCTCAGTTTGTTTCCTAGAGTTAAGCATCTCTTACGGTTTGCCTCGCTCTCTATTTTCATCTTATTTTGTTTTTCCTTCCCTTCTGTTCATCTGTTTTGTTTCTTAAATCCCACATATGAGTGAAATCATATGGTATTTGTCTTTCTCAGACTGACTTATTTCACTTAGCATAATACCCTCCAGTTGAATCCACGTCATTGCAAATGTTAACATTTCATTCTTTTTGATGGCTGAGTAGTATTCTGTTGTATATATATACCACTCTTCTTTATCCATTCATCTGTCGATAGACATCTGGGCTCTTTCCATAGTTTGGCTATTGTGGACATTGCTGCTATAAACATTGGGGTGCATGTACCCCTTCGGATCACTGTGTTTGTATCCTTTGGCTAAATACCTAGTAGTGCAATTGCTGGGTCATAGGGTAGCTCTATTTTCAAATTTTTGATGACTCTCCATACTGTTTTCCAGTATGGCTGCATCACTTTGCATTCCCACCAATGGTGTAAGAGGGTTCCCCTTTCTCTGCATCCTTGCCAACATCTGTTGTTTCCTGTGTTGTTAATTTTAGCCATTTGGACTGGTGTGAGGTGGTATCTCATTGTGGTTTTGATTTGTATTTCTCTGATGTGGAGTGATGCTGAGCGTTTTTTCATGTGTCTGTTGGCCATTTGGATGTCTTCTTTGGAAAAATGTCTGTTCATGTCTTCTGCCCATTTCTTTACTGGATTTTTTGGGTGTTGAGTTTGATAAGTTCTTTATAGATTTTGGATACTAGCCCTTTATCTGATAAGACGCTTGCAAATATCTTTTCCCATTCTGTAGGTTGCCTTTTAGTTTTGTTTACTGTTTTCTTAGCTGTGCAAAAGCTTTTTATCTTGGTGATGTCCCAATAGTTCATTTTCTCTTTTGTTTCTCTTGCCTTTGGAGACGTGTCTAGCAAGAAGTTGCTGCGGCCAAGGTCAAAGAGGTTGCTGCCTGTGTTCTCTAGGATTTTGGTGGATTCCTGTCTCACATTTAGGTCTTTCATCCATTTTGAGTTTATTTTTGTATATGGTGTAAGAAAGTGGTCTAGTTTCATTCCTTTGCACGTGGCTGTCCAATTTTCCCATCATTTGTTGAAGAGACTGTCTTATTTTATTTTATTTTATTTATTCATTTGAGAGAGAGAGAGAGAGAGAGAGCACGAACAAGAGGGAGGATCAGAGGGAGAGGGAGAAGCAGGTTCCCTGCTGAGCAGGGAGCCTGATGCGGGGCTTTATCCCAGGACCCTGGGATCATGACCTGAGCCGAAGGCAGATGCTTAACCAACTGAGCCACCCAGGACCCCCTTGCTGTATCAGTTCTAGCAATTTTTTGGTAGAGTCTTTTGGGTTTTCTACATAGAGTATCATGTTGTTTGGTAAGAGTGACAGTTTGACTACTTCTTTGCTGTTTTGGATGCCTTTTATTTCTTTTTGTTGTCTGATTGCTGAGGCTAGGACTTCTAGTACTATGTTGAACAACAGTGGTGAGAGTGGACATCCCTGTCGTTGAACGTGCTTTTCATTAACCTCCCTATTTCATCTTTATTTCTCTACATAAAGCCTCCATCAACTCACTGTTGCCTTCATAATAAAGTCCATATTTTATTCAGGCATTAAAGTTCTTCCAGCTCTCACTTTGATGTAACTTTTCAACCTCATTTCCTCTGTTCCCCAAAATGAATTACTGTTTTAGCCAGACTGGTCTAGCCATCTGTTTCAGCTCCCTGCCATCCTTTAAGTCCTGGTGCAAGGCTTACCTGCTCTGGAAAGCTTTTCCTGAGCATTTGTCAGGAACTAAGCACATTGTGTTATTTATTGTCATCTTGTCCTGCATCTGCACTTGATCTTCTCAATTAGATTGTAATCTTGTGTGGCACGGTGTCTTGCACATAGTCTAGCATGTACTAAATAGTAGTTGACTCGTTGGTTTTTGGGTGGGAGGGTAGAATATAGAGAGGGACCAGCCATAGAAGTGTATCCAGAGTGTTGAACTCTTCCCTGGAGGACAACGAGTATATTTTCCTCATCTTTTTATTTTGGGAACCTAAGCCAGTATCTGATATGCAGTAATTCAATTCCATTCAGCAGGCCTGCTTTTACCAAGTGTTGACTCTCTGGCAGGCAGTGTGCTGGGTGCTGAGCTTCTGTAAGGGTTTGTAAATGAATGAAGGGGTTTGGGAGTTGTGCTTTTGTTTCCCAACTTCTGTTTGTTCACCTTTCATGCAGGTGTTTCTGTGGTTGGCAGGGATTAAAAGAAGAGTCCCAATGCATAGTCCAAGATGTTTCCTCTCCAGGGTGGGTCTCCTCCCCAAACCAGGATCACTCCCCTGGTGTGCCACTAAGCCTCCGTGTTTGTCACAGCCCTTTCTGGGCTCAGCATGTGAGGGAAACTTCACCGACGTGATACCCAAGAAGTGTCAAAGAGGACAGAAAAGTCAGAAGAAACCAAGCCGTGTTGGACCACTTGATGGTTCCTGGCAAGAAAGGTAAGACCCAGGCGGATATTGTTTCCCATTAGCAAGTCTGAATCTCTGGGTCTCCTAAAATTCTGTATTCCTGTTGTAACTAACATGGCATTGCAAGGGATCAAGGGGGCGCCTGAGGTAGGATACCCAGGGCAAATTTGAAGACACCTGAAGAATGTTGGTGGAAATGCTTTGTGATGGCAGAAAATATTCTCCTTGCCTCTAAGTATGTTTTTCACAGAAATGAGATATTAAACTGGGACCTTGTCTCTATAAAGGCCCAGGGCAGGTATGCTGAAAACCAGGAATCCAGAGAGCGATCAGATGGCTTACAAATGAATAGTCCCGTTGCAGCCATGCAAACACAAATATACCTCATTTTATGCAACAAATGTATTTTCTAAATCAAATTATATTTTAAAAGCATTAGGGAGGTGAGCTATTTAAAGGAACCCAACAGTGAAGCCTTTTGTAATATGATTAATTACCTCTTGATAAATCTGGATTTTTCTTATATTAAGTTTGCCCATCTGTTCTGCTTTGTTAAGTAGACAGCACCAAAATGGGCTCTTCTCCCAGACTATCTCCCCAGGGGCATGAGAGTTAGGTTTTCTGAATAAGTAAAATGCCAGAGAAAATGGTGGCAGGAAGTACTTATGCATAGTAGGTGCTCAGTACATATTTATTTAATGAATGAAGTGCCTGAACTATTTTTTTTAAGGCTGGCTGATGTTGTGACGCCACCCTGGAGGCTGAGCTATGAGGAACAGCTCAAGGTTGGTACCCAGCTTACGTTTTCACTCCCCAGTTCCATCAGGGGGAATGGTGCCAGACTTGTAGGAAGCTTGACTGGACAGCTCTACCCAGATCCCCCAACAGGTGCTTAAAATCAATATGCTAATGAAAAGCTTTTTTCTTTTCTTTTCTTTTTTTTTTTTTTTAAAGATTTTACTTATTTATATGAGAGAGAGAAAGAGAGCATAAGAGGGAGAGGGTCAGAGGGAGAAGCAGACTCCCTGCTCAGCAGGGAGCCTGATGCAGGACTCAATCCTGGGACTCCAGGATTATGACTTGAGCCAAAGGCAGTCGCTTACCAACTGAGCCACCCAGGTGCCCTGAAAAGTTTTTTTCAAATGTATTTAGTTTTTTATATTAACATATACGGTATTATTAGTTTCAAAGTTAGAATTTAGTGGCTCGTCAGTTGCATACAACACCCAGTGCTCATTACATCACATGCCCTCCTTAATGCCCATCACCCAGTTACTCCATCCCCCCCCACCTCCCCTCCAGCAACCCTCAGTTTGTTTCCTAGAGTTAAGAGTCTCTTATGGTTTGTCTCCCTCTCTGGTTTCGTTCTAATTTTATTTTTCCTTCCCTTCCCCTCTGTTTATCTGTTTTGTTTCTTAAATCCCACATATGAGTGAAATCATATGGTATTTGTCTTTCTCCGACTGACTTCTTTCTCTTTGCATAATACCCTCCAGTTCCATCCACATCATTGCAAATGGCAAGATTTCATTCTTTTTGGTGGCTGAGTAATATGAATCTGAAATTTTAATATAATATGAATTTAATGTAATATGAATCTGAAACTTTACACCTGTTACATCTTCCAAACTCTGGAGACATACCGGGAAATGCCTGTTTCTCCCTTGCTTTTTTGTTATTCTCTGTATGTGTGAATAGCAAGTACTTTTGCTGCTTTATACATAGCTGCACTTTCCAACCCGGTAGCCACTAGCTACATGTGGCTATTTGACTTTAAATACAGTCAATTCTGCTGTAATGCTTGTTTTAAAAACATAAATTTGTTCCAAGGAATTGATACATTAAGGAACCAATTTGAACATAATGCAAATTTCACATTGGCTTAGGAGTGATTTTTTTTTTGTCCGCGAGAAACACCAGATGAAAGAAGCAAACTACCCAGCAGAACCGAGCTGCATAAGAATGCATAAAATGAACACGCACCCGTGCCTCAAGCATTTACGGGTTCCCGCAGTTCACTAAGTGTGGTATGAGCCACGCTCATCCATGTCTGCTGCTAGATCTTTCTGTATGTGACACATAACCCTCCTTTCACCACTTCAGGATCATTCCCAAGTGGACAGCCACTTCCACAAGCAAACTTCAGGTCTTTGTCAGGGTAAAGTGCCATCCTTATTGTAGTATCTATCTATAAATTTCTTAACCTTTTATTTTTTAAAATTTTTAATTTTTTATTATTTTTTAAGATTTATTCATTTGAGAGAGAGCACGCAAGCAGCGGGAGGGGCAGCAAAGGGGAAGCAGGCTCCCCACTGGGCAGGCAACCTGATGCAGGACTCGATCCCAGGGCCCTGATGCAGGGCTCAATCCCAGGACCCTGAGATCATGACCCGAGCTGCTTAACCAACTGAGCCACCCAGGCGCCCCATTTCTTAACCAGTGAATGTGGAAAACTGTATTACCCTTTTTGTTAGGTTCCTATCCTTTCTATATGTGATACTATAAAGTTTTGGAATGTGTGTGCCATTTTCCCATGAGCCCTGTGATTTTTTTTTTTTAATTTTAATTCCATGGGGCGCCTGGGTGGCTCAGTCGGTTAAGCGTCTGCCTTGGGCTCAGGTCATGATCCCTGGGTCCTGGGATCGAGTCCCGCATCGGGCTCCCTGCTCCGCAGGAAGCCTGCTTTTCCCTCTCCCACTCCCCCTGCTTGTGTTCTTTCTCTCGCTGTGTCTTTCTCTGTCAAATAAATAAAATCTTTAACAAAAAAAATAAAATAAATTTTAATTCCAGTATAGTTAACATACAATATTAAATTAGTTTCCAGTGTACAGTATAGTGAGTCAACAATTCTATATATTAGTGCTCATCAAGATAAGTGTACTCTTAATGCCCTGTGATTTCTTTCATGTGATTTTGCATAGCATAGTGTAGAAATGCGTATGTACTGATACAGCAGAGGCAACTAACTATATACATTAACTAAAGTTAAATGAGATTAAAAAATCAGTTCCTGGGGCGCCTGGGTGGCTCAGTCGTTAAGCGTCTGCCTTTGGCTCAGGTCATGATCCCAGGGTCCTGGGATCGAGCCCCGAGTTGGGCTCCCTGCTCAGTGGGAAGCCCGCTTCTCCCTCTCTCACTCCCCCTGCTTGTGTTCCCTCTCTTGCTGTGTCTCTCTCTGTCAAATAAATAAATAAAATCTTTAAAAAAAAATTCAGTTCCTCTGTCACGTGAGCCTCATTTCAAGTGCTCATTAGCCACATGTGGCTAGTGGTTACCATATTATATGGCATATAATACCAACATAAAACATTTCCATTATCATAGCACTGACCTATAGCTTGGGTGTTCAATCTGAAAGATCGGTTAAAATGAAGAGCTTACGTAAGAGCTCACTTTTGACCTTTCTCCCAATACCTTCTTAGGTCTATTGCTGTCCCATCATTACGGGTTCCTTATCTGCTAAGACCATGACCCAAGAATCTGTGGGACAGCCTTCTCTTTTCCTCTTTGTTTTCCATTTTTCGAGGTAATACTGCATAAGTCTCTTTGTTTCATTACATATATTCTTTTGCAGGTGAAATTTGAAGCTCAGAAGAGAATTTTACGGAGACTAGAGTCTTACCTCCAAAAGCTCAATGGAGTCAATGTGACAACATCTGCACCCAGAGCTGAGGGGCTCTCTTGTCTTCTCCATCCTATTACACCCTCTGTAAGCCACTACTTCCCTATCCTTTATCTACTAAGTCCCCTTAATAGCTAATAATATCAGCCAGTACCTACTGGGCACTTTCTGGAGACCAGGCCCTGTGCTAAGTGATTGCATGCATCATTGTCTAGCACATTGTCTGTGCTAAGTGATTAGCATGCATCATCATTGACTGTTTATAGTCACCCTGAGGAGTAGGCACTATCGTTTTACAGATGAAGATGTTGAGGTTCAGAGAGATTAAGTAATTTGCCCAAGGACACACATTTAGAAAGTGCCAGAGCTGAGGTTCACACTCAGGTCTATTTGATGCAAAGCTCACTTTCTCAACCACTACGGTATTACCTCTGTAGAAAGATTTCAGACTTTGGAAACCGAATGAGGCCTCAGAGAGGCAGAATTTAATTTATGGCAGAGGTTGGCAAACTATGGCCCTTAGGCCGTATCTGTCACCCACCCCTGCTTTTTTGTAAAGTTTTATTGGAACACAGCTGAGCTTGCTTGTTTATGGATTGTCCCTGGCTGCTTTTGCACTGCATGGCAGAGTTAAGTAGTTGTGACAAGGACCATATGACTTGCAAAGCCTAAAATAGCTTGTTATCTGGCTCTTTACTGAGAAAGTTCACTGATCCCTGCTTCACAGCAAGATTGAAACTCCTTTCCACTATGGAGTGCCTGTGGAGTGTCTTGACCTCAGCTATGGACTTTCACAAATGCCATACCTTCCAAGAAAGTGCCATTTATTTGTCCTTATCCAGAGAACATTCTTACGTTCCTTTTATTGCTGTTCTCTTTGGTTTCATTTGTCCTATTGTGCTTCTCCTGCCCTACCTTCTCCAGCCTGTCATCAATGGCTACTGAAATAAGTCCACCTTTTCTGTGAACCGAGGTCCAGATGGCAATCCGAAGACTGTGGGGTACTACCTGGGAACTTGGAGAGGTCAGTTGAAGGCCATGACTAGTAGAAATAGCAAACTAAGGGCTGAGAGGAGAAGGAAGGTATAGGAACAGTGTCGGGGGAGAGGGGTAGAGAGGAGTGGAAAATATGGCAGCCTTGAAGAAGTCTTTGATGCAGAATGTGATCACAAAGTTAATTTTGGATGCTTTTTGGTGGGTAGTCATTGTCACATAGCACTAGGAATCACAACTTTTACCCTTTCTTCCTCGAAAAGTCATATGCCTGAGCCCCAGTTAGCACTTAGTAAATGTTAATGTTGCCACTGCCCACTCACCATTGTCATCATCATCATTTTATGCTCCTTTTCTGTACTGGGAGAAGTCTCCTCTTTATTAGAGAGTCGCCTTTTCTATTTCATATCTCCATATCCCTGAAAACTAGACTTTCTGTGATAAATCTGCCTTAAAGTAATTGGTAGAGGAGGTGAGTAGTGGTAAGGGAGTTCACAGTGGTGTATTTCTGAGACTTAATCCCAGTACCCATTCTCAGATTCCATTCCTGAACTTTGCATTTGCCCATTTTCAATAAATCCACTTGAAAAACCATCATTTTATATTAGTCACACTGTTTAATACCCATATGCCCTAAACTGCAGTTCATTAGGGCAGGCACTTGGCTTCCCCCCCCCCCTTGTGCTGAATTAAATGAATATATGACGTCAGTGTTCTATTATTCAGTAACAAAAACAAAACCCATTACATTTTATTTCCCTCTTAAAATCTGAACAGAAAGCAGATCTTGTCATATTGGTGCATTTGAGGCATGAGAGAAAATATTGCAGGCTAGCTCTATGCTCTATTAAGAATCAGCTTCGAAATGGCTAGACCAGGAAACAGGTTTTCTCTGAAAAATGGCCTTGAGCTTGAATTAGGTACTTCTTCAAATCTGAGTATGCCTCTCTGAAGGAGGGTATTTGAATGGCCAGACATTTCTAAATAACCTTTCATCAAGAAAACCATATAAAGCAAATTCGTTTTCTTTCTTTAGACAGAAGCATCGTCTGTGTATGGTCTAACCATCTGAAAAACATCCCTGAGAAACACAATCAAGTGGCACAGGTAATGAGAAACAAGGGCTGGTTGAAGATAACCCTAGACATTGCAGTCTGTAATAGTAGTGTCCCTGACATTTTAATAATAGAGCGGCCCCTGGTACTATAGGGGAGGAGGGGCTCTGTTCTGAAAGCGTACCTTGTAACACGGAGAGAACATTGCTGGTGTTTCATTTCAGGGACGGTGGAGAGCAGGAGAGAGAACTTCATCCATTATTGCCCATGTCAGGCATCCAAGGAATTTAATAGGAAGGAAGTATTAGGAAAAAGAGGTACCGGTGAGGGCAGTCTAACAGGTGACAAGTGTCTGAACTATTTGGAAGGTTAGTGTTTTCGGCAGAACAGAACTGAGAAGTATCATGGGAGATGTAAGTGGTAAGGCATCTACGTCATGAGGATGGCCTGTAAGACATTTTTATATCCTTCTTTCTTCATGCACCTACTATTTATTGAGTGCCTGCTATGTGTTGGGCACTGTGCCAGGTGCTGGGGATCCAGTGATGACTCAAATAGGCATGGTCCCTGCCCTTGTGGAACTTAAGAAAACAAGTCAAAAGCCTTGCTCATGAGGACTGAGCAGCACTCGCAACTGACACTCTTGTTCCCTGTTGGTTCTTACCAGCACCCACCCTCCTAATGATTTAAGTTCCTGACACTTGGGTGGTGCCTTCTAATAGGACACATCCTGACCTCTAGGATTTCGCTGTTAGGATGCAGCTTCCTTTGTAGAATTGTTCTCCAGAAGTCTTCCTACATGGGCCTCATCAGTTCCTAACATCTACCAATTCCACTGAAATCTTATCCCTCCTTTCCTCCTATTTCAGTGAAAGAGGCGGTTGGTCTTCCAACCTTCCTATCCTTCCTTGAAACACCATGTTGGACTCATCTCCTCCCTCCTTTAGATCTTTGCTTCTTCATTACATACCCTCTTTCTCCTGTTTCTGTACCTCCTTCCCTATGACCCCTATCGGCTCTTTTCTTTAAGTTCATAAACATTAAATATCTCCCATCAAAAAAAAACTCATGGTTCTTCTGCCCTTAACACCCCATAGAAATTGATCTTGTCAAAGTCATCAGTGATTCTATTTTGCCAAATCCAATGGAAACTTTCCCTAACTTACTCAACTTTTCTCTGCCTTTGACACCACTTATTTTTCTTATTTCCTTCCTTGAAACATTTTCTTTGTTTGCTTTCTGTGATTCCTTTCTCTGATGGTTTTCCTCCTATCTTGCTGGCCACTTCTAAGTCTTTCCCATGGGATCTCTTTCTCCTCTCCTTTCCTACTATAAGTGTTGGTATCCGCCAGGACTCTGTCCTTGACCTTCTTTTCAGATACATTCATGGGAGATTGCACCCAAGTATAGTTGGTGACTGGAATGACCACCTACAAATTGATAACTCCTAAACTTATATTTGCATTCTGGTTCCCTCTTGAGCTTTAGGAGATACATTTCTAAAAGGCTATTGAACTTCCTCACTTAACTGGCCTACAGATTCAAATCAGCACTGCCCTAGATCAGGGTTTCTCAGCTTCTGCCCTACTGACATTTTGGGTTGGATCATTTTTTGTTGTGTGGAGCTGTTAGGTGCATTATAGGACTTTAGCAGCTTCCCTGGCCTCTACCCACTACGTGCCATTAGTTGTGACAATCAGAACTGTCTCCAGATGTCTCTTGGGGGGGGCACAGTTGCCTCCAGTTGAGAAACACTGCCCTAAACCAAATTTATCCTCTTCCCTTTCAGAATATGCTTCTTTTTTCTCACCTTAGTAAATGGTAGCACCATGTACTAGAGACATGTCATCCTAGACTCCTCTGTCTTAATCCCCACCTTCCTCCTCAGCCACATCTAATCAGTCTCCAAGTCCTGTCAATTTTCCTTCCTAAAAATACCTTGACTCCCCTTCTTCTATTTCCACCACCATTACCACCACTACCATCACTCAATTCCAAGCTACCATCTTCTCTTGCCTAAACTATTACAGTAACCTCCAAACTGGTTTCACTAGTTCCAGCCCCTTACCTTGGTTTATTCTCTACACTGCATGCAGCCAGAGGTGTCCTTAAAATGCAGATAAAATCATACCACAATCTTGCTTAAAATTCTTCAGTAGTTACCCAGTAGCTTTTAGAATAAAGCTTAAATTTGTTATCTTTGCACTGACAGATCTTCATGAGAAGGTCCCTAGCCTCATCTTCTGCCGCATCCTCACCTGCTTTCCTCCTTCCGTTCGTATGGAACTCAAGTTATCCTACCGAGCTATCTCACTCCTGCCTGAGGCTGTCCTTTCTCCACAGTGCCCTCACTCTTCTCCCCTTGGCTTCTACTTATGTTCAAAGATTCATTTCAAACATTAGATCCTGTAGAAAACCTTATCTGATGCCTCAGTCTGATTAGGGAGTCCCCCTTTCTGTACTCTAGTCTAATCTCCCATTGCTTATCTCCTTTTGTTGCATTTGTTACACCATATTGCATTGTTGTGCATTGATTGGTGCTTCCCACATGAGACTGGGAGGTAGCAGCTGGATATTATTTAATTTTGTAGCCCAGCACTTAGCATAGATTCATACACATAGTGGTGCTCATCAAATGTTTGGTGAATGGATACCTCTTTGCAATATTTACCCAAGTTTCCAGCCCTTCCAGCTTCTATTGGGCAAATTGTTTACCCTACACATCCATCCAGAGGAATTCTTTTTCCCTGCAAAATTTGTACTGGGACCTAAGATCCAATCCAGTAGGTACTCAAATATAGGCCAGATGCTGACTGTAATAAAAAGTAATACCTTATGTATAGCCCTAGGTTGTTTTCACTTCTTTAATACCTTCATTTCTCTTTCCCTGTTGTGACAGTCCATTCCATTACGATGATAGGATAACCTTAGTTTGCCCTGATTTGAGGTTTAAATATCTACTCTTGAGTCTTGAGTCAAAATATGAATTTTATGGGAGGTGACAGCCAGAGCACCAAGACCTAAGAAGCAGTCTATAAATAAAATACTATCAAAAAATACAAGTACATAGTTTTAAAAGTCAAATAGTAGTAATAGGTTAGTAAGGAAAAGTGATGTTTCTCTATCCTACCCTTCCTTGCTCTTGAGTCTTGCTTTCTAGAAACCACAGCATTTATTTTAGCTATTTCTTCTGATGTTCTGTATTTCTAAATAGTACATTATTCTGATGTATTTTGCTTTATCCAAGTTACATATTATTTGTTGACTTCCAGTTATGGCATATAAGAATTTCTCTCCCTTACTTTGTTTTTCTTCCCAAACTACCCTTCTTCTATTTTTATAGCACAATTCTTGGTTAAATTAATATTTAGTGTTTCTATTGTTATGAGTATGTAGATATTCATTCCTGAGCCAAGTGCATGTACTAAGATTTTATTTTCCTTTATTGTAGAAATTTTCCTTTCATTTTATATTGTGAAAAATTGCAAACATATAAAAGAATGGTGTAACGAACCCCATATACCCATTCCCCAGCTTCAAAAACTATCAGTATGTGTCCAATCTTACTTTATCTATACTCTCACCCACCCCACATTCCACCAACACATTTGGATTAGTTTGAGGCAAATTCCAGACATTATATCATATAAAATGTGAAACTTCAGTGTGAGTTCTAAAAGAAAGAACTTAATTTTTTAAACATAACTTCATACCATTATTACATCCAGAAATAAACATTTATCCCATAATATCAAATATCCAGTAAATATTCAGGTTTGACACCGATGTATCACATAAATGGTTCGAGTTTTATAGGTGGTTTGTTCAAATCAGGATTCAAACAAGGTATGCACATTGCATTTGATTAACATGTCTCTTCATTCTCTTTTAATTTGTAGGTACCCTTCCCTCTTAATTTTTTTGTCCTTGCAATTTATTTTTTGAAGAAACTGGTTGGTTTTCCTGTGGAAATTCTTATTCTGGATTTTGCTGATTGAATTCTTATGATGTCATTTAATGTTCTTCCTCTGTCCCCTGTATTTCCTATAAACTGGTAGATCTAGATGACTAGATTCAGATTTAACTTGAGGTGAGAATATTTTTAACGTGTATATGTCTGATGGGCTCTTTTTCGGTGATGTTAAGATTGAATTGTGGATTCAGTGTCATCAGCCTGATCCACTCATTAAAAAATTTCCTGTCAGGTTTTCACCTAATGGTTTTCGCAGTCATTGGTGATCATTACCTAGTCTATCATGTCTTCATTTGTTAGTTAGAATTCTTCTAAAAATAACTTTTCCTTATCAGCTATTTGGTTACCCTGATGTACTGATATAATCAAGACAGGGTAAATCCTTGGTTCTTTCACCTTCTTCAAAAGATGATCAGTTAAATTTGTTTGTTTCAGTATCATGAAATCATGGATTTTTTTTAAAAGAGTTTCTTTATTTTGAGAGAGACAGCAAGAGAGCACAAGTTGGGGGTGGGGGGAAGAACAGAGGGAGAGGGAGAAGCAGACTCCCCACTGAGCAGGGAGCCTGACATGGGGCTCCATCCCAGGACCCTGGGATCATGACCTGAGCCGAAGGCAGACGCTTAACCCACTGAGCCACCCAGGTGCCCCGAAATCATGGATTTTTAACATACTTGATATGTTTTAGTCCACTGAATTTACTATTATTTTTTGGTACTCAAATTGTTCTGTTTGTAGCCAATTGGAGCTGCTTTAAGTTGTCTCGGCCCTAGGATGGCCCTAGTAGTTCTGGAATGATAAGGTATTTCTAGCACATCTAGTCTTTTCTGCCTGAGACTGGGAATCAACCATTTCTTCAAGGAATCCTTGTCTCTTTTAGTGGGAAATGGTATTTGGAAGCACAGTATGGGTGCTAGGGGTGCTTACTTATACTGGGTTGGTAATACTTCAAGCCCTTTCTAGTGGACAGAGCCAGGGAATATTTTCTTAAAGAGAAAATATTAGTTCAGAGTGATATATTAAAATCAAATTTGGAATGATAGAACTTTTACTGAAATCCTTTAATTTTTATATTTTTA